AAAAATGTTTTCCCGACATGTCATCGTTAAACTCGTTAAAAATAAAACAGCGTAAATTTAATTGAATTTCAAGCGAATCCTTCGTAGTGTTGTGGTTTAGGCGTGTGCTCGTATTGGCGTGTGCTCGTATTGCGTGCGCCAAGTTCTGGGATCGATTCCTGCTCGCGCTACTATTTTATTATTTTTTTTTATACTTTTTTTTCTTCGTGATTTTCGCTTACGCACCGCGTACGAAACGTATAGCGTATCGAATATGTTGTTGCTTCGTTCTTAAGAAACAACGCAACCCTTTTAGTGGTTTAGTGTTAGCTTTTAAAGCGTTGTCGGATGAATAGCCGTGAAGCAGGAAGATCCGGTGTCGGACGAATATCCACGGGGAACAATTTTTCCCGGCATTACCAAATTTTCTCCATTTATCCAACTTTTTTTTCTTAAATCCGAAAGTTTGGTACCATTCTCTAAAATTTTTGTCAATTTAGCTCATTCTTCTCCAAATCATAGTTAATATAGAAGACCTATATTAACTATGTCCAAATTCACACTTATTTTTGTTAATTAACTTTCTCTGGGCATAGAAATTACTGGAATTTGTGTTCATTTACCCGAATTTCTTCTGCAAATCTACCTGGATTTACCTGAAATTGCCCACATGAGCAATTATTGGGGGGGGGGGGTGTTACACCCCCACACCCCCCGGTCGGCACGGCCCTGCGCGCGAGTGGTTTTAGACACAATAAAACAGGAGTCGCGAGTTTATTGAACGGTTTCAAAAACAATTAATAGTATTCTTTATATAAGGAATACTAAGTAGGAAGTGTTTTATCAAATATGAAACCACTGCATGTAACATATTATACTTGATTTGGTTGGCAAAAAAGATCATGAACCTGTTAAGTTATCCGATAAACAATAGAGACTTAACGACGATATTTTCTGATTGTATTATATTAAGTTTGTACGCCGTTTAGGGGAAAACTGATACTACGCCGGCACGCCAACATTAGCATTTGCACGCCGCTGCGCCGTAGGGCATCGCAACTCCACGCCGAAGATCTTCGCGTTTGGCTACATGGAATGCACCCTGGATAATATACTATCTCGCTTGACTTTCAAAGGCCATAAATCGCAATAATGTTGACATTTTACTATTAAAACTATCGATAGAAATTAGGAGATATTTCTTCACTCAATCGAACAGTGGGATTTCCATATAGGCCTATCAGTCATGTTTTGAACCGAAGATACTTGATATATATTAATATATACGAACCTCCAAAGTATAAACAAGGGGCCGGTTGATGCAGTAATTATCAAATAACAGTTAAACTCTTATATACCCGTTGAATATGTATAGTTGTAAAAAAATAAAAACTATCGTTCTATAAGGTTCAATACTTTCAGTTTGGTTGTTGACTGATGATGAATCTATAGTATAGACTTGCATGCTTTGTATTTTGAGCTTATTAAACCACCGTTTTAAGGCAGCTAAACGGCTAGACGGGCTTGGTTTATATTAACACATAAAATAAATTCCTTGATTCTCATCACTAGACACAGTCTACACTTTGAAATGTCGAAGACAGTGGGAGATTTATTTTTTATATTTTATATTTATATAATTTATATATCAATAGTTCGTATCTCCACAAACAATGACAGAATGACTGAGTTTCTTTAAAATACAATGAAATTTCACTCAAAATTCTGTTTGTTTCAAATTGGAAGTTTAAAATGGCAATAAAAACTCTATATAAAATATGAAAAAATTAAATGTCTTGAATTATTTTGTCGGGCGGTACATTTATATTGTATAACGAAAAATAAAACGTTTTCACGAGGATTTTAAAATTCAGTCGGGCGGTGATGAGAATCAAGGAATTTATTTTATGTTGGGCAGTTGGGACTTGGGAGCAGCTTGGGAGTGGCTAATTTTGAATATTTACTTAATTAATGGCTCTATAAATAGCGTTGATGCTTCAGGGGCGGTAGTTCATTTACACCCAGTTTTGCGGCAGGCGGTATTTCCTACGTACCGCCTGCCATGCAGGCTAGACCATGTACAGTACTTGAGTCTTGTGATATTGCTTTTGTATTATACGATATACTGTAAACTTGCTGTTAACATATTATATTATTAATATTGAAGGTTGTCAAATATCATAAAATCAACACACAAAATTCACACACAAAGGTTTAAAATAATGTATATTGGTATAAACGTTTAATAAAAATGCATACATACGTAACCCATGGTCGGCATGGAATTTTGTCACTTGGCACAGTACTTTAATGTCCCACATTAAAATATATTGAGTCAATGACAGTGCAACTGTTCATATTAAAACGTTCTAATCACATTTTACATGCACATTTGTATTCAGTAGTAAATCTTTTCATAAAGGTACATCAAAGTCCCAAATCAAATTCTTCACTGACAGTATGTTATTGACTCCCAAACGACAAATATGATAAAACACGCTTCCAAGCTGAAAACTTAGAAATATTTACTGTTGTCAGACTCATCAGTGGCGCCGGCAAGGGGGGGCGAGGGGGGGCAGCCGCCCCCCCAATATTCTCCAGAGTGGGTTTTTGGATTTGTCCAAATCCGATGTCGTAGG